CTTCCCTGAGGGTCTACTAATGGCTGCTGAAGAGTGAAAGGGGGACAGTTTGCTGAGACAAATCCCACCAAAGCTTTTACCATATGAAAAGCAAGTTCTAAATAGAGAGAGGCATAAAAGCTGGAAGAAATACCTCCAAGCTATTGGGATGGTAAGGAGTCTGCCCTAACTGGGTATACTACAGAGGCCCCACAAAATTTGAAAGAGATATGCTGATGTGAAGTCTGGAGGCAGGACCGGAGAAAAAGAAGAATATCTGGTGACCCAAAAGCTGACAGCCAGTCTGTACAGCAGCTGAGTTTTCTTGAGTCTCAGTAGGGCTCATATCCCAGCCTGTGCTGAAGAAAGCTGTGATCCTGTCCTCAAAATATTTGAGGCCAGTTGTTAATGGAAGCTAAGTAAAGACACAAAAATGACCAGGCTCAGTTAGTTCATTGACAGATAAGTTTCACTCCGTTCTCAAGTATAGTTGTCTGACTGAGGGAATGATGTGCCTTATTCTGGGGGTAAATGTTATTTATTTCAGTTCTTTAATACAATGCTCAGTGTACAATAAAAAATTACAAGAAATATGAAGAAGGGATAAAAGGTGACCCTTGGTCAAGAAAAGAGACAGTGATTAGAAGCAGACACAGAAATGTTCCAGATGTTGAAATTATCAGATGGAACATTAACTATAATAAATATGTTATAGAATCTATTGTAAGAGTTGGCAAAATGTGTCAAAAGATGGCAATTTTATCAGAGCAATAGAAATTATAATAAAAAAGGAAATCCTAGAAATATACAATATCAGAAAATTTTAAAAAATTAAATAGCCTTAATTGTAGAAACAACAAAGAAGAAAAGAGAATCAGTAAACTTGAAGACAGTCCAAATAAGTTATTCAGACTGAAAAAGAGATGAAAAATCTAGACTCAAAGTAAAGCCATAAAAAAGAACAAGCTCAATTCATCTACATATTAATTTGACTCAATTCTAATCCAAGCTGTATAGGATATTATTAAATAATCTAACATATGTGTAATTGTATTCCCTTAGTAAAGGTGACAGAGAATGAAGCAAAAAAATATTTGAAGAAATAATGGCCATGAATGATCCAAAATTGATGAATGACTTCAGTCCACAGATTCAATAAGTCCCATAACCCCCAAGCAGAATAAATACAAAAATATACCTACACACACCATAGTTAAACTGCTGACAATCAAAAATAATAATAAAATCTTAAAAGTAGCTGTGGGTGGGGAGGGTGAGAGGGTGAGGAGTTTGTGATGGAGAAAGCACATTCCATACAGGAAAACAATTATAAGAATGATATCTGACTTCTCATCAAAAAAGGGCCAGAAGATAACGCAAAACACAAGTATATGTGATTCCACTTATATGAAATCCAAGAAGAAATCAAACTTACCTATGTTGATAAAAATTAGAAAGTAGTTGCTTCTGAAGTGGAGAATTGACTAGAATGAGACATGAGAGAATTTGCTGTGGTGATAAAAGCCAACTTTAGCTTGTTTTGGGTGGTGGTTACATGGGTGTATAGAATTGTTAAAACTCATCAAACTCATCAGTGCAATTTTAAATTACACTTTTATAAAAAAAAAAATTTTAAGCCCTAGAAACATAAATATCTTTACGCAAAAATGTTAGTGATCATGTGATTACAAACTTGCCTGTTCCAGATACAGAGGAGTCCATTCATATCTCAAATTCTCGTAATAATCAAATCAAGGTGAAAATATAAAAAAGTATGATTTTACAAAAAGTATACATAAAAGCCTGAACTAGTTCTTAGCATAATCATACCTGTATTGACATGAATATCTTTATTCATATATATAAATATAATATTATATCCACATGCTGAGTATATTTAATTTGATGTTCTACAAAAATAATGCTAAAGATCATGATTTAATTAGCATTAAAATAACTAACATAGTTCCTATGAATCATTTCAAATTCTTTGAAAGGTTAAGTCTGTCATATTTTAATTTTAAAAACTTAAAAATTTTTTAGTTATTGGTCATGTGTATTAGCAGGCTGAGAATTTCCAACTTAATGAAAATAAGCAGGCAAAATAACCTCATCCAAGTTAATAAAAAGGGTTGCTGTAAATGATCATAAATGATCATTGGCCTAAAGGCCAACTTAAAACTGTTTCATCATTTTATAAAGGACCAACTATTCTGGGGTCAAGCTCTCAGGATGGATAGTACTTTGGAATAATGAAAAGAATTAGGGATCTTATGGTTGGAACAAAGATGAATTAGGATAAGAATGCTTTAAACTATTGACACAGAAGATAGAATATTTATTGAATGCCTATTATGTTTCAGACGCTCTCTGGGCACTTTTTCTGTGTTACTTAATTATCTCAATAGCCCTACAAATTTGGAAGAGAAGGCTAGGCTCAGATAATTAGTAGCTTGTTGAAGTTCACATAGTGAATACCGACCAACTCTAAGCCTGTGCTTTTGTGACTATCGTATTCTATATTGCCCAAAGGATATTTAGAGGAAATACAATTCACCTCAAGATAAGTAAGAATTGTCTAATAATCAGTGTTGTCTAATGAAGACACAGGCTACCTTAGGAAGTAAAGGACACTCTGTCATTAGTGGTATGCAGGTAGTACCCAGATCATCTCTTATAAACTCTAGGAATACAATTCTTTTTTTTTAATGTTAACCACCATACATTACATCATTAGTTTTTGATGTAGTGTTCCATGATTCATTGTTTGCGTATAACACCCAGTGCTCCATGCAGGACGTGCCCCCCTTAATACCCATCACCAGGCTAAGCCATCCCCCCACCCCGCTCCCCTCTAGAACCCTCAGTTTGTTTCTCAGGGTCCATAGTCTCTCATGGTTCATCTCCCCCTCTGATTTCCCCCCCTTCGTTTTTCCCTTCCTGCTATTTTTTTTTAAACATATAATGTATTATTTGTTTCAGAGGTACAGGTCTGTGATTCAAGAGTTTTACACATAGGAATACAATTCTATTACTGGGTAAGAAACTGAAAAGATACCCTCTAAGGCTCTCTCATGTCTGTAACCTCACAAAGTATTCTAGTAGATTAGTGGATTTTAAGCTACTACTAAAAATGTAGAGAAATGGAAAATAAAGAAGCCAACCTTCAAATCTGTAGCACCCTTTACTATTACTATAATCTTAAATAAACAGAACTTCTTCCATTTACATATCAGAAAGCACGGTTCAGAGTAGCACAACTGTTAAGAAAGGTAGCCTGAAAAACCATGACCACTTATCATAGTCCTAGTTACTCTTTTTGATGTACAAGAGAGATCCTTAATGAAGTTTGTTGTTGTTTCTAATATTATATTATCCTAAACTTGAGGGATTTACTGACAGGGGTTTGGTGAGGTTAAAATGTGACTGTGTTCCCATAATGATTAAATATTTATTTAATGATAAAAACATTCTAAGTTGCATTGACAGTGATTTAAAAGTTCACCAGAATAATAGTGTGCAGGAATAATGCATAAAGCACTGATTTCCAGGTGATGTTTTTTGTTTATTGTATGATGTGTCAGTGAGAGAGATGACCAAGGATGTAGAAATCTGACATTATCATGTAAATATTTTTCTTCATTAACTTTGCCCTGGTTTAATTATAGCAGAAAATTATATTTTGTGGTGACTTTTAATGAAAATAAATAAAAAATTATATCTTACTACCTTAAGTAACTACACCTTTATTTTGAAGATGGTACCTACTTTAGACAGTTTCAGCTTTCACAGGTTCATTTTCATAAAATATTTGATAAATTTTGACCCACTGCATACCATATAAGAAGGAACCAATGCATTTATCACTGAAATATAACCATGGGATTTACCTATAGCCATTTAGCACTAACACATTTTGAAGGGTAAAATATTTCCTTACAGCAAAGTTCTTAATGTATCCTGGAGGGCTTTGTTTTGTTTTCTGTTAAAACATACAAATCAAGAAACTAAATAATTTATTCTGCCCTGAAACACCCAAGTGAATTGAAAACTCAATGTCTCATTTCCTCATTTCCTTTTTTGTTGCTTTAGTCTACAAAATAGTAAAGAGGTAAATGAAGCCAGATTCAGTTTTCCAAAACATTATGGAAGAAAATTGACTTTTGCTTTGACACCTTTGATTCTGTTGCCATAAGTCTTCCCATTGCATGCTTCCGATAATGCCACAGCTATTCAAGCAAAGTGGTGTGTAATTTCTGTGACACATTTTTTCCAGCTAGGTGTGAAAGTATAGAATAATAAACTATCACTCATCTGTGTATGTGTGTTTTTTCATTGAGATAGCTGTTTACATTCACCATTTTATAGTTATACATAATTAATACTCCTAATTGATAGCTAATAACTAATTATGAAACTCAAACTCTGAAACATTGATATGAAAGCTGTAAAATTCTGATGGAAATTTCCATACTGAAGATGTTTATAAAAGTGCTCACCTGTATTTTCTGTCGCAGTTCCTTTTTGAAAGAAAAAATTCACATAGAATTCTAATATATCCCCTCCAGCAGTTATGTGTCCATTTCACCTTCAGAAGGCAGCGAACTAGGCATGGCAGTAGAAAACACAGAAAGGTTTTATAGATGGACCTATTTAATATTGTTCGTGTTTGGCTAATGTTGAAATATATTCAAAAAGAGTTATTACAATATGATATTTGTGTTCTGTTTTATTTTATATTTAAGGTGTTGATATGCCTTTCCAAATTAAACTTACCCCCCAAGTAAGATGGGGGCATTAATGCTAGTGAGAATATCAGTTTATATTTATTGTATGATGAGAAATAGGAAGGAGGAGATGCCTCATTGTTAAAACCACTGATGGTTTCTTATATGTGAAATCACACTGAAAGTCTGTTCTACTTTATGAGAATTACTTTTAGTAGATTGTGTTTGACTTTTTCTTATGGAATTCCAGACATGATAAAAACATATTAATCCTTTTACCTCTTATGCTTACAGATACTCATTTCAAAGAACTCCCAACTCTTCTCCACTGTGCAGCAAAATTTGGTTTAAAGAACTTGGCTATTCATTTACTTCAATGTTCAGGAGCAACCTGGGCATCTAAGATGAAAAATTTCGAGGGTTCAGATCCAACACATATTGCTGAAAGGCATGGTCACAAAGAACTCAAGAAAATCTTTGAAGACTTTTCAGTAAGGTTTTTTTTTTCCATTTTATGTCTAGAACTCTTTTTATAAAGTGTGTGTGTGTGTGTGTGTGTGTGTGTGTGTGTATTGCCCTTTTGGAAATGATGCTACTGCTCAGCTAGTTTATAGTGTCTTTTGGTCCTGAGTCATTCACTGTGTTGAAAAGCATTTTGCAAGATAAGTCAACTTGTTTTAGTATCACTATAAACCAACTCTGACTCCATGCTTCCTTCCCTAAATAGCCCTTTTTAAAATTTGTCTTTCTGGCTTCTACATAGCCTGTTCCATATTGAAGAGGAGATGATGAAAAGGCAATGAAAACCCATTACCTTTATTCTTTCATTCAAGAGTCTGAGTTAGACACTGTTAGGCTCATGAAATTAGATAAATAATTAGGTTAAAGGAAGGCATTTTGATAATCTTTCAAAGTCTTCCATAAAAAGTTAATTCATGTTACTTAAATTTGTTTCTCATATGTGATTCTTTTTCTCTCTCTGTTAAGTCCCGGGCCCTTATTATGTAGGTTGAAGCCCCAAATTTCAGAAGGATATTAGCTTAGAATTAGAAAGAATACAACCAAGGGAAGATTTTGAAGGAGGGGATACTACCTTAGTATATAGAATACACTTTGTGTTTTCATGATCAACTTTAGAAGAGCAATTATTTTCTCTTGTAACAAGAGAAATGTGTGTACATTTTGCTCAAAAAGTGAATTATGGCTCTTTGGAAAATGTAATAAGACAATAATTGTCTTGGTGAATATGTCAAAATTTGTCTTTGGATTCTCAGAAGATAAATAATTTTATTGCCATTGAACAGTTAATAAGGAACATTGAAATGCTGTGGGAAGTTTCTGGTCTTTTTAGCATTCATTCGGATTATTAGATTAAGTCAATGTAATATTGGACTTCTATAAACCATTGGTATTTGTGGATTTCAGATGACAACCACTCTAACTTTTTCCACTTTTAAGAAATAGCAAAGTAGTTATCAGAATAGCATGGATATCATTCACAATGAATTACAATAAGAGATCTTTTCCTTGTATTTAAAATCAATACAGAAACAAATAAACAAATATAGAAATAAAGTTTTGTAACAAAATTGAAAAGGTACCTTTTCTATTCTGTATCCTTCAAATTAGGAATAAAAATTTTTATTCCTAAAAAGATTTCAGATTGTGATTCTCACATATCTGATGAGTGCATTCATTTTACTATCTGCTCTATAAAGTCATTGACCGGTGCAACATGGTATCTGTCTCAGGTAAGTTAATGAATCAATTCAGTCAGCATATTTGCCTACAGTACTCCTGTGCAGTATATCTTGGTTGCCTGTCTCAATTCTCTACAACCCTATTCTCAAAATTTTAACCACTGGTGTACTTAAGTTAAAATTTCCTGTGAAAATCTTTAGCATCCAAGGTTACTTTCTAAGATAAACCCTGATTTTCAAAGAGTAATGCTTTCACTTGTCATTCTCCAGTGAAGACTCAGCTTTTAACAGGTATAGCCCCATGCAAACTGCATGTGCCTCATAAGTAACATGGCACTAGATATAATGCCAGTAGATATGAACATAAGTTCAAAGATAGGATTTGATGGATATGGGAAATAATTTTCTTTTTCTCTCACATCCTCTGGGTATTTGTACCTCTGCTCCTGCAGTAATAGCAATGATACAAATTGATGGTATTATGGTATTATAATCTATAATAGCACTGGAAACATGAAAGAAGTGTAGGTGTTAATTAGATAACATTCTCAAAAAAAATGAAAGCTACTCATTCATAATGAAGAGATTCTGTTCATAGATTAGCATGGATAGTCTAGATAGCAATCATTGCCTTTAGGTCACTGTTCACTCTTTTATAATGGCTGCATTCTAATTTTGCAGTTATACTTGATCGTTATGCTATGAAATTTGTTGTGATTTTATATATTTTGTCTCTTTGTGAGCTGTTAACATTTTGCCAGAATGTCTATAGTAGACATTGCCATTATAGGTAGGATAGATCAATTACTTCGTAAATGTTCTGATGTCAATAAGGAAGTGACAATAACAGTTATAAGGGACAGCAGTTTTATAAGGGAATATTATGGTTATGGATAATTAGGTATAACAATTTTGTAAGCTACCAAAAGCCTTTTTGAAAATGCATGGTTAAGGAAATAGGAACATATATTTTAGGTTGTGACACACATGGAAAAGTGTGTTTCCTGTTGATTTATTTTTCTGATTATTCTTTTCATTATCAATTTTATTTAAAATAAATCCAAACATCTTACCTTCTTAGTGAAAGTATGCCATATAAACACACATTGAAATTTTATATCTAAATTATGGTAGCTAAGTCTTTTTAAGAGTATATCTAATAACAACAAAAAAAGAATACAATACATAATGCATATAACATACAAAATATGTGTTAATTGACGGTTTATGCTATCGGTAAGGTTTCCAGTCAACAGTAGGCTACTAGTAATTAAGTTTTGGGGGAGTCAAAAGTTATATGTGCATTTTTGACTGTATGGTGGGTCAGCATCCCTACCCCCCATGTTATCCAAGGGCCAGTTGTATATGGAGATTTCCCAAAGGTCTTTCTGTTATTGATTTTTAATTAAAATAAATTAAATTAAAAATTTCAAAAAAAGAGTGTATCTAAATCTGGTAGAGAAAAAATGTACAGTCTCATTATGCTGCTACAATACTTTATTGTTTCTTTAATAATATTTACATAGCTTTAATGTTATAATCACATTCTGATAAATCTAAGATTGTGACATAATGTGTTCAAACTTTCCATTACAAAAAACCTTTCCATTAACTATTGTTTCAGAATTGTTGAAAGGAGTAGATATTCTTTCAGGTTTGAGGTTGACAATCCAATGAACCATACTTCTGTACAGAAGAAATATGTATTTTTAAATTCAAACATATTTTGCACCCAACTGATTGACTGATGTGTTCTATTCTTCCTAATCTCCCTTCAGTGAAACACTGTTAATTTTAAGATTTCACAGAAAATTACAACACAGTGTGTTTGGTCATCTCTGAATAAAATGGGTAGAAGGAAAAAGCAATTGTGATTTTTAAAAATACAGGAAAGAAAAGAGAACCATTGGCAAGCATTCATAAACAAACAAGTGCCATATCTTAGTGAAACTATATGAATAATAAGGAAAAAGAAAAAAGGGGAGAAGCTTCAAATCACATCTCTTACATATCTTCATGACATTTTTCCTTTGAGAAGCTAATAATTTATACACAATATGTGAGCAGAATCTTTTTACTGTGAATGAATAGCTTTCATGTTTTGAGAACATTATCTAATTAATACCTACATTTCTTTTCATGTTTTCAGTACTATTATAGATAGTAATACCACATATTTCTAAAATCCATAAAGTCTTTCAAATAAATGACTCTATTTTCAGTTTCTGCCAATGTCTCCCGGGAGAATCACTCTGAAAGGTGGATGGACAAAGAGGGTAAGGGTTGGTATTTAAATCTACAACCAAGTGTGAACCACGATTTACTTAAACTATCTTTTTTCTTCCACCACAGTGTTCACTTATGTAGTTTTATGTATGTGAATAAGATCTTAATCATAAATCATTTTCATTAAAGTTTAGGAAACAGAAAATCAGCTTTCCATGCATTTTCTCTAGCTGGCTTTTCAGAAGGACTCTTCACTGGAAATCTTTCTCCTGCTCACATCTGTGATGAGATTTCTGTGACATCTTGCTCTCATTGACTTACCTCAACACTGCTCTTTGACCCTGTGGACAGTGGGCTTGTGTATGTGTGTGTGTGAGTGGGGGGGAGAGGGGGGGGAGAGAGAGAGAGAGAGAGAGATTCTATTCCTCTAGTGTCTGTCTGACAGACAGTGACCCTGCACTTTTTTCCAAATGGTCCAGGGTTTGGAATGAAGGTACAAGAGAGTAGATGTTGAAGCACGTTGAGAATCCCTTCCTTCATAAAGCAATGATTGACTGACTGGTATAGAGAACCTATTATTCAGAAGTTAGACTATGTTTGGGCCAGTGAACATCACTCTTCTTGACTTTTTATATCTCTCAACCTTAGCATTGCTCACTTGGTGCTTTCAATACTATTTGTTCTCTAGTAGATTGCTCATTTAATTTAGTATGTATTACTGTATACTAATTCAGTCTAAATAGCAGCATACCCCGCTTTGCCAATGTAGTTTTTCTTTCTTATAAGTCTAGAAGCAGATAACGGGCAATGGGTTCCCTTCCCCTTCCACTGTTAGGTGTACAGAAGGTGCTCAGCATGTATTTACTCATCGATGAGGCAGAAGGTAAGTGTCCAATTTAAGGGCTTGTTTGATCTCACTTACCCAACAATATCCTTAACTAGGTTAAGGTTAACCTGAAACCAGCATAGCAAATGCAAATAAAATAATTGGCCATATCTCTTTATATTCACATTTTTTTTAAGTTTAGTTTTAGAGAATTCATGGACAAATATCCCAACTGCTAACCTCAGCATATATTTTTAATAGGCCAGCCTACAATGAATTTTAAAATTCTGGCCTTTGTTCAGTATTGATGTTCTGCTAGAACTGAAGAACCTGGAACAAGTCACATAACTGCACTCGACTGCACACATTACAAATTCATGTTTCAGTTATGCTTTTGGAACTACTTAGCAACCTCTTTCTAAAATCCCATTAAATGCACCATAGTGGCAATTACAGAATTTTACCCCTCTGCAAGTCCGCAAACCCAGGTTTAATGCCCTAACTCTGCAGCTCTAAACATCCTGTTAAACTCCCTCATCTCCCCTCTCGTTTGCCAAATTTTCCATTTTTCTCTACACATAGGGCCTTGGGATTCAGCCAGCTCTGGATTTGAATCCTGACTTCATCAAATACCAAGTTTGCATCCTCGAACAATCTCTTTGCTTTCTCTTGGCTTCAGTTTCTTTATCTGCAAATGGAAAAAAAATAATTCCTTACAGGGTGTTTTTAGGACCTGATG